TGAACAGGCCATCAAGGTACAAGGAAGAAATGTCCTCCCTGTGAGGGTGGGGAGGCCCTGGCACAGGTTGCCTGGAGAAACTGAGGATGCCCCATCCCTGGTGTCCAAGGCCAGGTTGGACGGGGCTTGGAACAACCTGGTCTAGTGAAAGGTGTCCCTGCCTATGGCAGGGGGTGAAACTGGATAAGGTCCATCCCAACCCAAACCACTCTATGATTCTTTGATCCTGAACAGGTCTTCCCTAAAAAGCAGAAATAGGAAGAAATCAACTGTCATTTGGGAGGCAGGACCTTGATAGAGATTCATCATCTCACTCCTGGCTCAGGTGAGTGATGTGGTCCATTTTGTCACCTCTTTCCCCAGTGTAGCAGGTTCTCTGCCTTAGTCATTCTGTACTATGGTTATAAGGTTGTTCTGATGTATTTAGATCTACAAACTACACACTGAAGATAATCTTGTCTAAAGGAAACACAAAAGAATATCCTTTAAAATTAATACATGAGAGAAATATCAATTAGGGCACATATCCTTCAATCCTTATGGGTAGGAGACCCATAATTAATTATTATATTATATATTATTACATAATAACAATAGGTGGGAGCAGGTCCTGTTTGATCAATTTGTTTGGTTATTACCCATAACCAATTCTTGGTTATAGATAGCTGAGGGAACTAAAACAGTGACAGATGAAGGCAAAATTCCCAGATGAGAAAAGAAATAGAGACCTGTATGTGTTCAGAAGTGGCAGAGTACAGGTATTTCTTGACATTGCAGCCCTTTATCTTAGACACACCAAACCAGAGATGAACAGCACAATGTAGGTTTGACACTTTTATTAACAAAGAACCCATGGGGCTCATTCATTAGTACAAAATACAATCATGTTCCTGTATGTTAAACAGCTTTTTTTTTTTTTTATTTTGTCTCTTTTAAACTGTTTCACAGTTATCAAAACAAAGCCCCTGCATATCGAACTTATTATTGTGCAAACAGTAATTATTTTTAAGGATCAATTTCTGCACTAAGCCAAGTGCCAGAGAGCAGAATTTAATCTTGTTTTCACCCCTCCTTTGAAGGGCCATGTGTGCTTCCTAAGAAACACATAATAGTTGACTTTTTTTTGCAGCAAACAATCTAAGGCCACAGTTTATCTGCAAAGAATAAAAAAAACAACTCAAAGATTTTAAAGGAAAAAAAAAAAGCACATCTTTACCCTTCATTCTCTTGTTTGCTTGACCATGATTATACCAGGTAGCACACATCACCTATCAGGTATTACAGTCCAAAAAAGCACCTAATGTTCTTTAAGCTAATTTTTTGAATTATTAACATGCAAGTTAATACACAGCAACATTACTTTTCAAGTAACTATAATGGTGTCTGTTTAAGGAAAAGATGCTTATTCCCTTTCCAGGTGATGTGAATGAAAATCCTGCATTGATTGTATGGGCAGGCCCTCACTTCAAAAGGCATGAGAGCTACATCTTGAGACTTAAATACTTATTTTTAGAATGTCCTTTCTAAAACATGCACTCAAATTTTGGTTAAAGCTGCATTTGCTATAGAAGACAATACTTAATGTTGCAAATGAAAAAAAAAATAACTGCAGTTTGGAAACATGGATCTCCATCAGTCTGTCTTTCACACTGATGCAAAAGTGATTTTGAGGTGAAGTGCTAGAAATTAGACAATGTAAGGAAGTCATACTAAAAATATATACGTGTGTATGCCTGTAGAAAAATCCCTGCTTCTTATATGAAGACAGATTTCATAAAAAACCATTTAAACTTTCTTTAAACTGCAGTTACTGATGAAATGAAGGAAACTCAATTACTGGTTTTGTAGTTATCAGAAAGTACAATGTTTTACCACATGAAGCACCGGGTTTTAACCCCAAACCCTTCTGTAAGACATATGGAGTAGTTCTAATAGTCCAAAATCCCCTGTACTTTAAAGACAGGACTGTAAACGTGCGTGCTGACAATGCTGTGTTTCTGCTCCTGTAAGTGATCTGTTGGTGGTGGTTTATTTATCCCAATTGATGCTTGGCAGGAAGCAAACATTCTACTTTAAAGGAAGGCAGCAGAAGGGCACGTAAATGCTGTGCCTTCACTCTTAGCAGCAACAAACTCTCACTGTTCTAAATGACCTGAGGAAGAAAACATTAAAATATTGCACCAAAACAAAATTAAACAGCAAAAACAAACAAGGAAACAGACCAACATATGGATAGCAAATGACCAGTGCAGCCCCTGACAATAGATCTTTTAGACAAAAATGCAGGAGTAATGAAAAGCTTTGTGCCATTACCAGAGGACTTTGTTCCCCTGATATCTGCTTTCACTTCAGTTATAAGCTATGTCTATTCTGGGTATATTTACACCTCTCCCTACGCCTCTTATCTCATTCACTAACCACAGAAACCATTTAGGGTCCCTTTTAGAACCTTGAAGTATACTGGAGCTTTAACAAGACTTTTTTTGGTCTCAAATCTGACCGTAAGTAAATATCCAAAACAGAGGTAGGCTTATAAAGGCTTTTGAATAAATAAGTATTGTCCATTTTGCTAAGTATACCTGCTGTTGGCAGAAGGATTCTCCCTTGCCATGCTTCCCCTTATCATGCTATCCATAGGCTTAAGATGCAAAAGAAGAACTCACAGTAGAAGAGGCTAGAATAATTCCCTTAAGAAATCCCTTGAAAGAAAGCATAGTGCATAAGCTTGTATCAAAGTCCACTTTTCTCTTCCATACTTGTGTCTCTCACTCAGGAAATGGTTGCCTTCATAGTATTGCATAATAGCTACTCTGTCATCCGTGGTGCCTTCAGGATCGTTAGGAGTGATGAAATAGTACCACTTGGCAGTCGTGAGAAGGGCAGGTTCTCATGAAATACAAATTTAAGACTTCACCTTTTAGTAGTGTTCCTTTCCTGGATGCAGACAGTGCAAAGCTGAAGCCCCTTGAACACTGGAATCTTTTTTGGAAATGTTTTCTTACCCCACATTCTGTTCTACTACTCAAGTTCTACTACAGAAGTTCTCAACATCATTATGTACATTCTTCCAGAGTGTTCCAAACAAAATATAAATTCTCTTCAGAAGATCCATACATCTCCTCCTCGTACTTTGTGTAGTGTGTCCACTTTTGGGAAAACATTCAGTATTTCATTCATTCATTTTCATTTCAGCATTTTCAGGTACTTCTCAAGTATCCCAAGCTTGGCTGCTCCCCCGTTACTCCTCTGTGCAGACTAATCCAGCAGATTCTCTTTTATCACCAAACGTGCTCATACCTCCTCCTCCATTTTCCTTTGCCTTTCTCGTACACAAACTGAAGTTTTGAAAAAGAAAACTGTTTCCTTTTTAGCTGCACTACCAGCTTAAGCAGCAGAAAGATTAAGACATTCATCACAATGATGCTTGTTACAAATCCTCTTCAGAGCCTGAACGAAACGGGCTGAATTTCTTCTACATCAGTTGGATGTGGATCAATCTAGGGAGAGAAGAAAGGCAACAATTACTGCCTGCAATTCCTGCATTTAAGTATGTGTTTTGGTTTGTTGTTCTTTTTTGCCATCTGACAATAAAAACACCACCTGCTATTTATTTTTTTACCTCTGAATAAAGAGGTGGAGGCTGAAACCGGAACTCTTGTATATAAGCAAAGACAGGACAACACAACTGTTCCTCGCAGTCAATGGGTGGTGGATAAGCAGGAACATGTCTGGAAAACTCTTCCTCAGACACTACATCAGCATAATTTGGTGGTGCTGAAACACAAGAGATGCTACTGTCAAATTTCAAACAATTCACTCACAGCAAGACAACATCTGTAGTACAGTATATCCAAACCCATGAAAACTATTTATAAAACATTGTACAACTGACAGATTGTAGGAAGTGCATTAAACTCATACATATTGTAACTAAAATTATGTGTTCAGTAAGCTTAGGTGATTCAGCAGGAACACAGATGCTTTTAGGGCAACTCCAGCAACAAGCCTGTGCTGTATCAAGATATATTCAGTAATGAATAAATTAAGTTCCTAAGTAGAATTCCCACTATCAAAATTTAGTTATTTCAGTCAGATCAGGGTAAAGATAAACTTAAGGAAGGCTGGAGTCACCCAATCCTTTTGGACCTGAGACTTCTCCTGAGTCATAGTTCCATGGCCTACATCCCTACAGTGCCCATAAGTTGGCACTACACCCATCTGCTGCAGACAGTGCTGTGTTGGATAAAGAGTGTTCAATATGTGTTACCTTCAGGGTGTTCAGGCATGGTCAGTGCCAGCCAGCTCATATCCATACTAAACTGGCTGGTAATGCTGGAGTTTCTGCTTGAAAATCCAATACATGGAATAGTGCCAATCACCAGAGGCATTTCAATCATCAATTTCTTAGCACCAGGAATATGGATATACACCTATGTGACAACCCCCAAACAAAAGAAAAAAACATCATGAGACCCCACTGAATCCTCCTAAAGGCTGCCCTACTCCCTACACTGCAAATTGTCTAAGAATTAAGAGCTTTCTGATCCCAGATATGTTCAGCTAATACCCTGGCAGCATTCCTTTCCTTCTTTCTGTAACTTGTCTCTAGGTGACATTTAAAAACATCTTGACAAACGTAATTATGCACTTGATTTTCAGTCTTCCCCCTTCTGAAAAGAATCACCAGAGGAACCCATTCAGCTTGAACTACTTTCCCATAAAAACCTCTGCAGGTCTCAAACTAAGCTGCTTCTTCCTTAGAAATATATTTCCATTTTCCCTGTTATTCCCATCTTTCCATCTCAGAATCTCTTCATGATCTTCAGTTTCTCATCTATATATATGGTTTATGATATTTATTTATCATAGAACGGTTTGGGTTGGAAGGGACCTTAAAGATGTAGTTCCAACCCCCCTCCCATGAGTAGGGACAACTTTCTCTAGATTTATATTTGTCACCCCCAAATTAAAAACCTAACAGCTACTCGGTAAATTCTTCTGTTCCCAACTCAATCCAAAGTTTGTACATTTGAATAACCAATACTTACAGCTAATGAATATTCTACTCTAATAATGCAGCAGTCAAGTATAGAAGGGGATACAGGTGGGATTTTCAGAGTTTTCCCATTCCAGGTATCTGTACTCCCAGAGGCAATGTGGTTTCCTCGGACATTGGCAACCATCTGACGGAAGGTTTTTGTCTTCCCACTGGCCAGGTAAGTTTGTGTTTGGAAAATGGCAGCTTTTGGAACAATCAAACGAGAAGAGCAGTTCTCAATTTCTGCATAGATTGGTATGGCTTCCCCTTAGAGACAGAAAAAGTCCAATGAATAATTTGTATTTCCCAACTTTCCTCTGGGAGTATCAAAGCATGTTACACAGCACGTACATCATCTGCAGTGTTATGAGAACAATACTTGTGAAGTTTCCTCAAGCTAGTTTATTTTTTTCAGAGTGGTATCCAGGCAGAATTATAGCCACCTACTACATTTTATATATAAACAATGATTCATTTTGAAACATCAAGCGTAATATGAACAAGCTATAAAAGCTTTATTTGCAAATTATGCCCCAATCTTCCTTTTATATAGTACTAAATGAATTTCAGGATGTTTTATTTTATTTCCTCAATGTCTCTAATGTTATCAAGATGACAAAGAAGCTGCTAAAGCCCATTCTTACAAAAGTGTAAAGCTACACAAATGACATAAAAACCTAATTACATCCCAAATTAAGTATTTTGTCCCAAATAAAAGCATTTTATTGTTCTTTAAACTCAAATGTACATGGGGTTTTTTGTAAGATTAACAGGACTTCCTTTTAATTATATTTCCCAAGGGGAAAGGCAAGATGATGTTTGTTAAACCAAGTTTTCATATAGATCTTAATTTACTCCTACTAAACAGAATTATTCTTTGAACTATAAAGTGTTGGCTTCACAGAGATAAAAGAACCCCAGCTACTAGGTGTTTAATGTTTACATTTTTAAGATAACTACTCTTACCATTACAGTATCCCTTCCTCTCAATTTTGGCACTGAGAGACACTGGCCCAGAGGTGAAAAACCAACAGCCAACCATCTTCTCCTGACTTCTTAGAACAGGTGTCTATAAAATACAGAGTATTTTTCATTTTATGGGATAAAGCTCTCAATCACTTGCAGTTACTGTTATCCATGTCAATCATTGCAATCCAGCTCTAAAATCCACTTGATTTGAATCACTGAACTGCTCTGTGCAACTGGAGTTTTGCCACCATGTGAAATGGAACCAAGGTTTGGCAATCTGCACATTTCTGTTTCAAAATCCCAGTGTGAATTTAGACTGTATCAACTGGGTAAGACAGAGGCCAGGGTGTCTTTGAATGTGATCTGTCTTCAAAAAAAGAACCTTTCAGAGGTCTCATGGAGTGCTGTGGCATTTATCCCCCACGTTCCTCAGTGCAGAAGAATGCAAAATTAATTTAATCTGCAAACAACTAATAGTTAAGCAGGTTAACTGTTTGTAGCTTTGTATCTTTAAGAAAGAATAAATATATATACACTGGGCTAAGGGGGTGCAACTTCATTACATGCAAGCCACACAACCCAGCAAAAATTTAGGCTCATGACAAAAAACATCTTAATTATTTAAAGACTGTCACATTAGATGACATTTTGTAAAGTTTTCATTAGAAGAAACTTACAAGCACACGTCAAGGATCCAAGCCAGGATCCTACTTAAAATTATTTACTGGGCAACAGCACCCAGTCAGTATAATAATGGCAATTGTTTTTATATTTATTACAATGAAAAAAATTTGTTCTGCAGTTTTGGTGATAGCCTTGGAATCCCCTGACTGGCATTATCTACTTTATATGCCTCACAGCCCTCTCCTGTGCCATTACCTATGGGCTGCTCTGTCCTTACAGAATCTGGATATAATGCTTTCAAACTCCTAATAGATAGTGTTGAATATAAAGACTATTCTGCTTAAAGATGTCACTGCCAAAATACTCTGAAGTTCTCTCTAAAAGAGATTAAAATGTAAGCACATAAAGAGGAAAAACACCCTACTCAAAACATCTCTTAGCTATGTTCACGTCATGATGTTAAAATTATCCTATAATTTTAAATAAAATAGAAATTTCTCATTCATATTTAAATGAATAACCATTTAGATCCAGTTGCTATCATGAAAGTGCAAGGTATAATTTTATATTATTTTCATAATATGGGCTGAGATAAAAGAATCCAGCTCATTAGCTTCCATCTTGCCTATTTTCTCATTACTTAATGCCTGATCTTTCTTATTACTCTACAGTATTTCCAGTCATTACAAAAAACTCAATGCTTTAATGTGGCCAAATCTGTCACAGGGAAATAACTGACAGGATCTCTGGAGCAGCTGTGTGCACACACTTCATGTTGGAAAACGACATGCAAAATGGAGGGATATGTAACATAATGGCCAGAGCATAAATGACAGGCTGGGCATGATTAATACTCTTCTCTAATTACTGTTCCTCAACCTACTATTATTGTAGAGTTTAGGACACTGCAGCCCTGTGAATGTAGTTGCTCTGGTAAGAGTAAACTACTCTACACTCATGCATTATTATTATTAAGCCTTATTTATGCATCTGAAGCCTGCCTAACTTTTTGGCAAGAGCATCTCTGCCAGCAGGGATGTAATCAATGCTATTAAAAAAGCCACTCTGTTTGCTATTCACACAACCTAAGATCATCTATTTATAGAGAAAAGCTTAGGGAGCTTATATGCTTTCAGAAGTCAGAAAATGACACTCCAGAATAACATGGAAATGGTTATGGATGTGAATGCTGCCTGGAAATGTTTTATTTTTTTGCAGCTGGCTTTGAAGGGGGAGGAGGAGCGGAGGAAGGACCCTCTTACCAAGAGAGCTGGTGAGCTGACGTCGATATGGCTGATGACCTGGAGCTCTGTCTGCACGCTCTGATCGGGAGCTGCAGGCCTCTCCAGGATGGCTTTCACATAGTACTGAATACTGCCATACTTCCCAGTAAAAGAGGTCACCAGAGGCCTGAAACAAGCAGTCACAAAACCATTACCCTTAATTAATAATTCAGTTCCAAACGTGAGCACTTCCCGCGTACACGAACATTTAACCAATTTACAGCTCATACTTTTAGGGCCTGGGGGAAACTGAAGCCAACAAGGCCTGTCTGTGGGGTCTGATTAAGAGAAACATATAAAGCTGATACTAAAAAAAACACAAGTCAAATTACATTAAGATAATGTTGCACTACAAGCAGCGTCCAGCACAATCCCTTCAGGTTGGATTATTTAACTTACTCTTGAGGGAGCTGAAAGCTGAACGGAAATTCGTGTCTTCCATCTAGAAGAATTAAGTTTTCCTCACCTGTAGGATGAAAATGAATAGTATGTTTTAGTTATTCCAGAAATAGAACAAAGCAGATGCTTTTATAAGTTATTTATGTATAAGAACACCCAGATACAAGAAGTTTTTATTGATCCCAGTGGGTTCTGGACTGCAGCCCGTGCTTTATTTGTGCTGTGATGTGATTTCAATGAAAAACAAAAATCAAGGAAACATGGGAGACCTTGAGATTCAGTTCAGGACTCTGGCCAATTTCGAATCCAAAATGGCTTCTGCAGAGCACAAAGTAAGTTTCTTTTCCTTTTCAGCAAGACAGCAGTTAATCTGCTTTTCCAATTAACAATTAAACTAACTTCTGTGCTAAAAAAGCTGCAATTTAAGGTCAGTATGATGAAATACTATTAATACATGAGCTCCCAATATACATTCATAGAGGGCCTGCTGTTACACAATTCTGAAGGCCTAAATTTACTTTCCCTGCAGCTCAGCCTGAGAGCTGCGTTTCACTCTCGCAGAACAAAATGTCGCTGCTCTGTTTTTTAATTTTCCGACGCTGCCATAGGTGCTGCAGTGCCCGAGTGACAGAGCTCTGCCACAGCGAGCTGCCTCTGCTTCCTCAAGCCATTGGAGGAGCCCGACTGCTCCCAGGGTCTTCCACGGGGGTTTCCCAGCTGCTGCTTACAGAGCACAACCCACACGGCTGATGGAATTCACAGGCGGGCTGAACCTCTGCAGGGAACTCAACTGCGGATTTTCTTACAGCCCCATTCCGCGTTTTTCAGCCACCGCGCAAAAAAAGTCTGTGGGCGGCCACTGGCGAGGCTGTGGCAGCTTCTGGGGTGAGGGCTCTGACGGCGGGGCGGCGATGTCCTCACGGGGCCTGAGCACCCGCTGCCCATTGCCAAGGGTGCCGGCGCCCACTTCTCCCCCTCCCCTCGCTGCCCACGGCGTCCCTGGGCGCTTTCTCCGCTCCCTCAGCGCCACTCCCCCGCTCCCACCCCCGCCGGTCCCGCCTCACCTTCGGGCGGGTCCCTCAGGAGGCTCTGTCGGATGTCCAAGTACCGCACCTCCGCCTCCCTCCGCGGGCCGGGCCCCGGCGGCCGCACCGCCACCCCCCAGGCTCCCGCGCCGGGCCCCGCGCCGGGGCTCTCGCTCCAAGCGACGCGCGCCCGCCCCGCGGCCTCCAGGCGCAGCCCGCGCAGCGGCAGCGGCCCCGCCAGCTCCAGCAGCACCTGCCCGGACACCGTGTCCCCGCTGCAGTAGCCGCCGCCACCACCGGCGCGCCGGGCCTCGTCCTCCAGCACCAGGGCCAGCGTCTTCACCGCGCCGCCGGCCCCGGGGCCCGGCCCGGCCGCCGCCATCGCTCCCCGGCCGCGGGGGAACCGCGCCCGCCCTCGCCCGGCGCTTTAAACCCGCCCGTGTCCGCCAGCGCCCGCGGCGCCGCGCCCCGCCCGCGCCCCGCCCGCGCCCCGCCCCCGCCCGCTGCCCATTGGCCGCACCGCGGCCCCGCGCGCCTCCATTCGCCGCGCACCGCCCCTGCGCCCCCTCCTCATTGGCCGCCCGGCCCGCGCACGCCCGCAGTGGCGTCACGCTGCGTGATCGCCGCACCGGGACCAATGGGGCGAGGGCAGGCGCGCGTGGACAGCGCGGCGATTGGCGGCGTGGCGGCAGGTCCCCGCAGCGGCGGCCAATGGCGAGGCGCGGCCACCACGTGCACAGCCTGTGGGTAAACAGGCAGGGGAGGGGCGGGGCCGGACGAGGGGGCGGGGTCAGGGCGGGGCCCTCAGCCTTTACCCTCCCAGCCCTGAACTTTCCGCAGCCTTTTAGCCCCTCTGCCTTCGAGCGTCCTGAGGGGTCCCCGGGCACCAGAGTTCGGGGTTCTTGTCCCCTCGCTGTTCCACCGCCTGTGGTCACTGCCCTCCAGCCCCGCGCTGTGGGGAAGCCGTGTGCCCTCGGTGACCCCGGGCTGCGGGGAGACCTTGGTCCTTAGTGGCCCTCAGGCGCTGTCATGGCTGTTGGGGTGTGCTGGGTCGGTCTCAGCCTCTCCCCGCCGACAGCCGGGCTGGGACTGTTAAATGTGGAAAAGTGTTGCGGTGTCGCTCTCCTCCCCCTGGTGTGCCAGGGGGTTCCCTCGGGGACTTGATGCTGCCTGTGTGAGCCCCTTCTGCACCCCACTGACGAGCAGGAGGTGAAGGTTTATCTGTAAATAAGCCATTCTGGACAGTCTGGAAACCTCATTGCCCACACAAATACTGTCTATTTCTGCACTTTGTAAACCAAGAAATGCCCTGGTTCAAGAACTTGTTCTTACAACCCCCGTTGTAACTGGGAAGCTAAATGGCTGCGTGCTGTCACACCCGGCCAGTGACGCCTTCCCAAACACAAAGGTTTATCCACAAGAATAAACACAGAGTTTGCTGCTTTTTACAGTTTTTAGAAGCGCTAGCTTAGGAACCCTCCAGCATCTATAGGGAGAGTGGTGAATGTGTCGGTTCTCGGCAGTGTCGTGTTTTACGATGGCCTGAGATGACAGCAGTGCATCTTCCTGAAGGTGTGTGCGGTGAATGATCCGCCGGCATTTCCACAGGTGACCAAGGAGTCACTTCCCGGTCCGAGTCACCTGCCCGCTTGAAGCTCCCCACAGCTGCATCTTCCTGCATTCCTCCGGCCCTCTGGGGCGCTGCAAAACACCAGCCTGGTGCTTCCCAGCTGACTCAGTTAATTACTGAAATTAGCTAAAATTGTCTTCCCGACTCAGAGCCTTGGCTTTTAAGTAACTGGTGGGATAACTCCCAGGCTCCCTCAGAATCCCTGGCATACCTGTGTGTCCCGTGAAATGTAGCCTCGTATTTAGAGTTACTGCTGCAATGAAGCACCTGTCCTTGCCGGGAGCCAGGTAGGCCTTTGGAACACTTTCTGTTGGCTAAAAGTTTGTAAACACCTCGGTGGTAATTGATAATAACCTGGGAAAAAGGAATGTGGTTACAGATGGGGTGAAGTCATAGGCTTTATTTTGACCTTTGGCCACGGATTCCCCAACTCATGAGGAAGAATTATGTAACTAAAGCAAATAATGCTGTGATGGTTGTCTGAGTAGTTAAAGAGTTCTGGGATATTCATGTACCTTTGTGCTTTTGAAATAATTTTTTTTAGTTGAAACTGCAAATGCATTGTAGTTGGGAATTGTGGTGTATGAAATCACGCTACATTGGTGGTTTTTAGCTCAATTAAACTAATACATGAGTAATTTTGCATAAATCTTTTCCTTATGTCCAGTTTTTCACATTAGCAAGTATAAGGTTAGTTTTGTAGCCATCCAAGAGACCATGCTTGGATGTCCAGACTGAATATTTGCTTATTTGCAGAATTTTCTTAAGTACAATGTGTGTGTGCAGGCTGATTTTGAGAGTGTGATACAGAGGGGGAAAAAAAATCAAAATCCCACAACCTCCCTTTTTCCTGCATGAATTAGAGCCTGTGTAAAAGTAATTAATTCTCTTAGGGGTTTATGTGACCATTCAAACATTGCCTCCCATTTATTCTTTTTAAGTGCAAATGAGGTAGATAGGGAAATGAATAAACATGGACAATTGCTTGTGGAACAAAACATTACACAGAATTAGTGAGAATTAGGAGGCTTCAATAACTTGAACAATTAGCCTGTAGAGGACACAGTTAATAGGAACATTCTGTCACAGTCAGGTGATACTTATCCCTGATGTTTGTTTGCCCTTTAATACATTTTTTTTCATCAGGATGCAAAGACCAGAATTTGTTGAAATTACCATGGAGTGATTGGTTTTCTCATCTACCCCCATCTTGAGGACACTTTGTAGTGTTTGAGACATTTTAACTGACCCACCCAGTGACATAAAATGAATGGTGGAATCCACCACGTGACTATTTTAGTCTCTGATGAGCCAGGAGGAAGGAAGAGGAGATGAACACTCAGACTAAGTTGTGGGTGTTTGTGTGTGACTGGTTGTCTGAATGCAGGAGTAGGTGTGAAAGAGCAGGAGTTATATTGACATGCTTAATTATATTTTCATTTCACTTATTTTGCCGCTTTATGCAGGACTGTGTAAGAAAGAGCTGCCTGAATGAATTAGTTAATGCACAAATTAGTGTGTAAGAGTAAAAAAATACACAAAGAAGGGTCTCATTGGAGAGTATCCACAAAGCAGTGAACAGCTCTAGAATCACAGACTCATCTTGAAGGCAAAGGAAGTGGGAGAACATCTTCCTACAGCAGCTGGTAATATCCTGGCTCTGCTGGTTAATTTGGAAATGACTGCTGTGGTCAGGTCACTGAATTTAGATAGGTCTCATGTCAAGTTTCTACAGGCAGTAACTATTTTTTAACTAATTTCTGTGCACATACTGATAGAACAGGCTATCAGGGCTTTAGCCTGCCAGAAGAGTTTTGGAAAGTATGGAACAGAGTCCAGGTTTCCACAATGGGAAGGACACATGATATGTAAATAACTTTTTTTTTTTTTTTTTTTTGGTGGGAGGTACAGGGTAAGAAATGGTCTCAGCAACAACTTCTGCTTCCGGGAAGGTTTTTGTTTTTCAGAAATCCAAGCAGTAACTGGGAGGGATGTGAAAAACTTGATGAGTATTTGCTGTCCTCTTCCTGCTTGAAAGGAACGGAGACAGAGCTCTTCATAGTGAGTCAGGCACCAGCACTAGGAGTTTGCCAACTAAGCTTTTCTGTTCTTAATCAACGGCCTGGCAGTTTAGAGAGTGAAGAGCTATTTCTGCTGCTGGAGGAGGACTTGGGGAAGTGTTTATGAGAGCTGCTAACAGCTAATTTACAGGCTGTGGAGTTCTTATTTGAGATTGCTGTGCTATAGCATCCGTTCAAGTGGCTTTCTCAGCCAGTACAAAACGCAACGGGCAAACAAGCAGTGTCTGAGCTGCAGCTGAGCTCGGTGGAAGAGCCATGGGACAGGCTGTGCATGAGTGAAGGCCTCACACGGGCAATGAACAGTGTGCAAACTCCATCCTGACCTTTCTGCATGGTAGGGAGGGTTTGCCCATGTACCTCATCCTTTATCTGCACATAGTTTCAGCTCTCTCTTCCTGACACATGTCAGGAAGCAGTTGGCTGAGAGCAATATTTACCCCTGAGAGCGG